TGTAAAAACCATTCTCAGCTTGAGGGCTGTACAAAAACAAGTGGATTTGACCTGTGGGTTTATGTTAGACAGTTAGGGCGCTATAACAAATACCATAGAGTGGGCGGCTTAAACAACAACTTCTCCCAAGCCTCCTTCCTGGCTTGCAGACGGCCACTTTGTTGCTGTATTCCCACATGGTGGACAGTGTGATCATCTCTCTCATGTCTCTTATTATAAGGGCACTAATTCCATTTTTGAAGGCTCTACGCTGATGACCTAATTATCTCCTAAAGGCTCCAAATACCATCACATTGGGGATTAGGGCTTCAACATATGAACTTGGGGGGGACACAAACATTCAGTGCATAGCAGTTTATGAGGGGAGCCCTGGCATCTGTGAAGAGCTCTGTTATTGCACTTCTCTGGAGGCCAGACCTTACAGTGGGAACTATAGCCACTGAATTGGGAAACCTCAGTGCAACAGGAGTAATTGGATCCCAGGGTGGCAGGGGCCAAGCGGAGGCACTAAACTGCCAAAGGCAAGGTGGGCATGGTTACCGTGATGGACAGCAGAGTCAAAGCAGCTATCAGAATAGTCTGACTTGTGCAGACCTATGTCGTTGGCTAGTTGATCATGGTGTTCCTAGAAGTGAAATAGGTAGGAAGCTTACTAAATTCTTACTTGAACTGTATCAGTAAAAAAGTTCTAGGTCAAGTAAACAAAAGTCTAACCTGAATAACAAAAAGAGAGTCACAATTCCTCAATCAATTCCCAGACTCGAGCAAGTTGACAGACCCCAAAACCCCTTAAATGAAGGAGAGGCTACATCCCCTAGAGGAAGGACACCAGTACACTACCAAAAATTTGTATAGTTAATCTTTCTTCAGCCTTTGCCAAAGGGACCTACCACCTTTTACCAGAGTAACTGTGCATTGGGGAAAAGGAAATGATCAGACTTTTTGAGGACTACTAGACACTGGCTCTGAACCGACACTAATTCCAGGAGACCCAAAAAGTCACTGTGGCCCACCAGTCAGAGTAGGGGCTTATGGAGGTCAGGTGATTGGTGGAGGTTATCTCAATTCTGTTGCGCAGTGAGCCCTGTGGGTCCCCAAACCCATCCTGTGGTTATTTTCCCAGTTCTGGAATGCATAATTAGAACTGATATAATCAGCAACTGGCAGAATCCCCACATTCGTTCCCTGACTTGTTGAGTGAGGGCTATTATGGTGGGAAAGGCCAAGTCGAAGCCACTAGAACTGCTTTACCTAGAAAAATAATAAATGAAAAGCAATACCACATTCCGGGAGGGACTGTAGAGATTATTGCCATCACATCCCCATTCAATTCACCTATTTGGTCCGTGCAGAAGACAGACAGTGGATTTTGTAAGCTTAACCAAGAACTGACTTCAAGTGCAGTTGCCATACAAATGCGGTTTCATTGCTTGAGCAAATTAACACACTCCCTGGCACCTGGGATGCAGCTACTGACCTCGCAAATGCTTTTTTCTTGATACCTGTTAGTAGAGACCACCAGAAGCAGTTTGCTTTGAGCTGGCAAGGCCAGCAATACACCTTCATGATCCTACATCAGGGGTATATCAACTCTGCAGCCCTATGTCATAATTTAGTTCACAGGGATCTTGATCGCCTTTCCCCTCCGCAGGGTATCACACTGGTCCATTACATCGATGACATTATGCTGACTGTACCTAGTGAGCAAGAAGTAGCAACTACTCTAGACTTGTTCATAAGACATTTGCATGTCAGAAGGTGGGAAATAAATCTAAAAAACATTGGAGGACCTTCTACCTCAGTGAAATATCTAGGGGTCCAGTGGTGTGGGGCATGTTGAGATATCCATTCTAAAGTGAAGGATAAATTGTTGCATCTGGCTCCTCCTACAAACAAAAAGGAGGCACAACACCTAATGGGCCTTTTTGGATTTTGGAGGCAACATATTCTTCATTTGAGTGTTTTACTCCATCCCATTTACCGAATGACCCGAAAAGCTGCTAGTTTTCAGTGGGGCCCAGAACAAGACAAGGCTCTGTGACAGCTCCAGGCTGCTGTGTAAGCTGCTCTGCCAGTTGGGCCACATGATCCAGCAGATCTAATGGTACGTGAAGTGTCAGTGGCAGATAGGGATGCTGTTTGGAACCTTTGGCAGACCCCTATAGGTGAATCACAGTGCAGGCTCTTAGGATTTTGGAACAGAGCCCTGCCATTCTCTGCAGATAACTACTCTCCATGTGAGAAACAGCTCTTGGCCTACTACTGGGCCTTAGTAGAGATACAATGCTTAGCTATGAATCACCAAGTTACCGTGCAACCTGAGCTGCCCATCCTGAATTGGGTGTTATCTGATCCACCAAGCCATAAAGTTGGGCATGCATAGCAGCACTCATCATCACATAGAAGTGGAATATATGTGATAGGGCCGAGCCGGCCCTGAAGGCACAAGTAAGTTACATAAAGAAGTGGCCCAAACGCCCATGGTCCCCACTCTTGCTACACTGCGTTGTCTCTCAACCTTGTGAGGATACAGCTAGAAGGTGGCTGTCTGCAAACCAGGAAGAGAAACCTCACCAAACACCGAATCTGCTGGCACCTTGATCCTGGACTTCCCAGTCTCCAGAACTGTGAGAAATAAATGTTTGTTGTTTAAGCCACCCCATCTATGGTATTTGCTATAGCAGCCCCAAATGCCTAAGACAGATATAGTTTGCCAACCCCTGATTGAGAGTCCATACTGGCACTGTCCAGTAGAACTTTCCGCAATGATGGAAATCTTCTATATCTGCACTGTACAATATAGTTGCCATTAGCCACACATGGCTATTGTGTGTGGCTAATTAAAGTGTGACTAATACAACTAAGGAACTAAAATTTTAATCTAGCCCTCCTTTCCATTTTTGTAGCCCTTATCATTTCTCCAAGGATTAATACAGTTTCTCAATTAGTTTCCCTGTCTCCATTTTCACTTTCCTCCAATCCATCCTTCACAAAGCTAGAGGGATTTTTCTAAAAGCAAATAGGATCCTAGCAGTTCTCCAAGGTAATGGCTCCTGGAAACTTTAGAAAAAAGTTCAACCCGCTAGCATGCCACAAAAATCCTCTCCTTAGGAAATCACAAAGAGGTAAAACACCTTCCTCTGATCAAATAAGTGACGGTAAATTTCTTAAGAGTAGTCCCTCATCATACTTCGTCTCCTCTAACATTTCACACAGTGGCTTGCTGAATGATGCAGTGAAGAAAACTTGGCTTTGGGGATGGAAAGCTTAAATCAGAACCCCACTTCTAGTACATTCTACAGGCACTTAATCACCTTGAGCCTTGAGTATATTTCTGTGCTAAACTGGAATGATGATAACTATATCACAGCATTGTTGTGAAGATCAAAAGAGTTTGTGGAAATCCTCTGCACTTAGTAAAAGGCTATACAAATGTTAGCTGTTGTTATAATAAATATTGAGTTTTGAAATGTTTCTAAAAAGCAATACTGGTCTGACTTTACCTAATATATGTTTTGCACAAGGTGACAATACAGATATAGGCCTTAGATGTTCAAGGGAAAGAGGGATGAAAAGGAACAAATTTGGCCCATTGATTCCAAACATTTCTCTGAATTATGCATTTTTCATCTTTAGGTCTAAGACTGTGCTTTCTTCACATTTGTTTTTCTCAACAAAAATTTCAGTAATACCAATAGACAGTTGATACTTGAGAAGTGAATGACAACGACATCATATGAGCACGTCAGAAAAGAAAGAAAAAGTAGTAATATCTTGTTTTTAAGCATCTATAGGGACTTTTCAAAGGGGACTTTCTCAGTGAGTTCTTGTAGGGGGAGTAGAAAAGGCATTGCTCTCAGTGAGGAAAATAAGGTAAAGAAACAATGTCATCAGGTGGGGAATGGAGGTAAAGGGGCAATTTAGCTCACATAGGAAGTGTTCTTTTCCCTTCCCTAGGGAGATCCCGGAACACAAGATTCCTAAGATTAAGTATACTTTTCATTAGACCACAGTACACTTCATGATGAACTTATATCAATACTTCATTTCTCAGTTCTTAAAATTAGTGCGACTCCACCACTTTAAGAAATGCAAAAAGACGACATCATTTGTGATCAGTATGCTTTTTTCTGTGAAGGGCACTAAAGATTTATTATTCCTTGAGCTTAAGGTTTCCAAAGCCCTTAATGGGTCTGTTTCAGAACACTTATCATACTGCATGGATAGCTCTATAAAACCCATGCCACTCTCCAGATCAAGATTTCCTGAGACAGGGTCTTTTGATACTCATCTTTGTATGTTCGTCTCATCCTGCCTTATATAGTAAAGCACATTAGCAAACTGGTGGCCATTCCTGCTTGTTCTCTATGGTATTCAAGTTTGCAATTTCTACTAAGCGCTCAGTAAATTCATGTGGAGGACATGAGTGATATTCATAGGGTAATCAGGGTGATTCCTTAACCACCCACCTCATGGCATCCGGAACACTGTCTTCGAGCCTGAGAGGGACTGCTGGTTCGGACCTCCAGACTCCAATGCGCCCCATGTAACAAGCCCTGCAGCCACCATGGCATTTCCTTTCCGTTTGAGACCTCAGCACCCAATCCTCGTAGTATTTTCTTCCATTTCGCTCTTTGCAGTTTGCATAAACTTTGGTATATTTTAGATGTTCTTCAAATTTTTAATTTAACAGTCTTAAGCAGAACTTTTCATTTCTTGGTTACAGACCCCTCCCCAAGAGGAAGAAGACCCTAGGCAAGAGGAGGCGAGGGGCTGGAGGTGAGACACTGGTACCTCAATTGGGGAAACCTGGTCACTTCCCAGACACACCACGGTCTGAGGTGGGAGGGGGGATAAAAAGCCGAGGACCCCACGTGACCTCGGGGGCCCGGGGCTGAGTCGACCCCGCCCCTCCGCCCGCCGCCGGGGGGCGCATGCGCAGCCCGTGTTAGTGATGGAGGAGAGAAGATGGCGGAAGCGGAGTGAGTGACTTGCTGGTGACTGATGTCGTAACTGGGGGGCGAGTGGGGGCAGCGACACGTACCCCCGAGGGGAAAGCTCAAGGCTCGTTCATGGGCAGTGCGGGGAAAAGGAGACTCGAGAGCCTCCTTGTCGTAGAGGAGCCCGCTTGGCCCGTGTCGGGGGGCGGCGGCGAACTGTAAGGCTTCAGTTACCCCCAGGCGGGAGCGTCCTTTCCGCCGTCTGGTCCCGGCTCGGCGGGGCCCTGCGCCCAGGGTCACTCCTGGGACCCGGACCGAGGGGATCTTCCGGGAGATGAGCCCCGGTGGGCCCCTCAGCCGCTGTCATCCCTGCAAGTGGGCCCCGCGCCCGCGCCGGGGGCCCGCGGAGGCTGGGTAGGGCTGGGCGGGCACTGCCAGGCCTCCTTCGCGCTCCCCTCCTTCCCGCCCCGGCGCCACCCCACTCCTCCTCAGCGGCAGAACCGAGACGTGGGGCGGCTCACCGCCCTCCCCGGGAGGCGTGGAGAGGTGTCCCAGCGCGGGCCTTACAGCGGCGGGGGCTCCTGCGGGTCCGGCCCGGCTGAAAACACCCTGGAAGGAAAAATCTTTCCCTCGGGTCTCTGGCTGCAGTGTGGATGCCTCCCTAGAGGGCCACATTCTTGTGTGGCGGTGTGATGGTATGCTTAGTGTGCGACTCAAACTTAGTGTTTCCTGCGTAGGCCTCTTGTGCACCAGGACTGCCGGCTCTATTTCGCAGGCTTACTATGCATAGACGGTGGAGTTACCAAAATTGTTCTTTTGTGTCAGATCTTCAAATGCAATAGAGTGGTTTGGCCAGTTCCACTCATCGATGTTTAGACTTGTGCCTCGAATTTGGATTCTCTGTGACCATTTTTGGTTAGTTACTGAACTGCTTACCATAGGGTTTGGGTTGGACTTCATAGTTGAGCAGAATAGCACTCTAAAAGGATCAGAATTTAAGTTGGCTTTGTGCATATCACTGGTACGTGGTTCAGAAGCGTTGTGACAGCCAGTAATTTGGTAAAAAGTTTACCTTATGTACCACTAAATATGTATGATGTTGAACGGTTACCGCGTGATGCTGTGATTTGATGATTGGAAGGCAGTGTGAAACTGTTGAAACAACAGAGAAGCGTAAAGCTGTATGAGTCATTTACTAATCAAAAAAGTTAGCAAGTGAAGAGTCAGCTTTTCCCCCAACTTTTTTCTTTTGCTTTTCCTCTTATTAAATCGAGATTTTTATCCATTTGAATCTGGAAGAGCATAGAGATACTATTTACATAAATGATATAAAGAACAAAGAAAATTTGTACATAAAAGGACACCATATGGGAATAGTGTATGCATACACAATTAGTGCCAAATTCCTTTGTCTTTTCTTGAAGTGGAAAGTGTTCTTGTTACATTCTTGTCAATGCTGCTAATGTGAGGTGGGTCAGATTTTGCTTCTCAGAAGAAAAGATGGATAAGAAAGGCAGATAAAACCATTATATTCTCACCATTGTGGTGCATTTCTAATTTTACAAAACTACTGTAGTTCTAGTTCCTAACAACATTGAGGCCCTCAGAATTGACTTAAAATAAAATGTTGTTTGAATTTATCGGAATACAGATTCTGTATTTAGTGGAATTTTGTACCACAACAGTGAAGTGACTTTGTAATATTGAAGTGAAAAGAATCAGAAAGTCTGGTACAAAAATGTACTTTACTGTCGATACATGAGGAAAGTGACATAATTATGCTGTTTTCAAAATTTGGATCAATTTTGTGAAAAGAGATTTTTGTAAGGTAAAGTGGGGAAATTGTTGTCAGCTGCTTCTGTATTTCCTCAGTCAGAGTAATCTGATTATAAGTATAACTTAGAGTTATTAGATGAAATAAGGACCATGTTGTAGACTAATTAGGGGAAAAGCCAGTGTGAGTTAATAAAACATTTTTTTATTAACTTATTTTCTAAGAGAACTTATTTTTAAAGCAAAGTATATATGGTACCCCAAAACAAAGCTAATTAACACAAGTCCTTAGGCATCCTATTTTAATCTATAGATAAGAATGACTTTAATTTGTAGTAGTGTGGTCAAAAGAATGTAAAGAAATATTTTAAAGTACTCCCATGTTGCTTAAGTTTTTATTTTCCTAGATAGTTTATTACTTCTCATATCACCTGTTTTGGTTTCAAAACACTCATCTTCTTTCAGTAATGAAAAGATAAACTTCAGGCAAGGCTTTATCTGAGTTACATATCGTGAATGAATTGAATTCAAATTTAGTAGATATTAATTATTTACTATATATTTGTGAAATACTTTTCCTTTCTAAGTGTGTATGGTGACTGTGTGCTATCTGTATTTTATGAGGGCCTTCTTAGAAATTTAGACTGTTGCTTATTATTTCTTTGGAGTAATTAAATATTCTTTAAAGCCCATAAGATAATGCTTTTGCCAATACAAACCCTTTGTGTTATCTGCCAGATTTAAGGACCACAGTACAGCCATGGATAGTGAACCAAACCCTGGAACATCTTCTGTGTCGACAACAACCAGCAGCACCACCACCACCACCATCACCACTTCCTCCTCTCGAATGCAGCAACCACAGATCTCTGTCTACAGTGGCTCAGACAGACACGCTGTACAGGTATTTCAGTTATAATGATGGGTAGGCTAAGACTTAGGATGTCATTACTTTTTGCTTAAGCCAGATGAATTTATTGTTTCATATCCTCAAATGACTTACATGATATCCTCTAAATGACTACAGTTAGAATTGTTAATGTTTGAAACAACCAAAAAGTTATTTAATAATCATTCTATTGAGAGGGCTTATGTTTGTCAGCATTTAGCTGATAAAATGATGTGTCAGGAAAATTATGATTGGAAGGTCTCTAGCTACTGCTGCAGTGTGGAGACACTCAACCTAGTGCCCCAGTATGCAGAATGGCTCTAGGTTTTTCTGGATTATTTTATATTTGAACCCAAAATATAGACTTAGGGAGATCTATTTGGGTCTGTAGATGTGTTAGGAGGTTTTGAACCCAAGTGACCTAGGAACTGTAGGAAAAGGGGCTGTAGGAAAAGTCTTAGGCTCTTCACTTATTTGAGAAAATTAAGTTTACTTGGTTAACCTTTATAATAATGCAGGTTGAGGTAATATGGTATTGTATAAAAAGGGCATGGACATTGCAGTCTGATATGTTCTTTGTTTGAATTCCATTTTCTTTATCACTGGTAGCTATGTAGCCTTGGGTGAGAGGCATAATCTCCTTGAACCTTAGGAAACTGTAAAATGAGGGTGAGACCACCTACTTCATTAGTTATTATGAGGATTAAAGGAAGCATCTAGAACTGTGTGGACCACATTATATATACCTAATAAATAATAATAGCTAGTATTTACTGAACAATTGCTGTGTGCCAAGCATTTGATAAATGCTTTACATGGATTATCTCTTTTAATCCTCACCACATCTCTATGAAGTAGATACTATTATTATCTCCATTTTACAGATGGGAAAACTGATGTTTTAAATAGGCTAAATAACTTTCCTAAACTCACATAGCTAGTAGGTTCTCTGACTTTAGAGTTGTGCCCTTAACCATTCTGTGAGTTCTTATTTTTTCCGTTATACCTGCTTACTGTCTCTAGAATCCCCATAATTGCATTCCGTCCTGAAAATAATTTACCTGTTTGCAGTATGGTCTTCTCCTTGCTCCATTTTCCTTGAGTGAATATCTCAGTATAATGGCTGTTGAACTGTTCTGTGGTTTAGGATTCTGAAGTTACCATGGGGTAGAATCAGAATTGTTGGAGACCCAGTCAGTTCAGCAGAAATTCAAACTGGATTGCAGAGCTTGTTTTTCATGTTCTTCACCTTTCTCTGAGGTGAGGGATGTAGGGAAGAGTATCCAGGTCTTTGAGCATACAAGTGGTGTGATATTTTAATATGCCATTTTGTTCTTTAGTTTTTACCTAAGCTGTATGTGTTAATAAAAAATAAAGTGTTACTTGGAGATGTGTAGATATATCTCACAAATAGCACTAACACTAGTTCTTATGAGATCATAGAATTGCTTCTCTTAAAATGCAATCCAGTCAATATTTATTGAACTACCTAAGTAGTTCTTTAATGCCTTCCAGCTTTGTTTTTCAGGCCTGTGAATTCTCTTTTCTCTCCTTGTTCCTTTAGAGGAACAAAATAAGAACAATGTGCTGTACCTTTAACTGGTATTTAAAGAGTCTCTCTCCTGTGAGTATGGCATTGAATGGTAAAGACTGCTGACAATAGAAAAAAATTACTGCACTCTGACAGAAATGTGTCAAATAGCTTAGTCATTTGTTATTTCAGTTTGATTTTAGAATTTTGTTATGGAATTGGATGAACATGTATAGATTTACCTGACTAAAAAGACATATTGTTGTAATTCTAAATCACTTAATACTGGTCTATAGCCCCCTGCAACTAGGGGTCAAATGCCTACATTGATTTTGTGACAGGAGTCTGTAGCATGTATAGCAATCCATATATAGATGAGATATGAACACATGAAAGTAAACAACACAAGGAGATATGCTTTCTTGGTGTTTGGATAAAGAGATTCGTAGCTTTGTGGTTCAAGGTGTCCTGACTCAGACACTCAAGCTGTAGGATTATGGCTCTATTACTCCCTTAGCTCTGTGAAAACTCTGTGGTTTGATGCTGAGATTAGGGTTCTGTACTGTTTCAGAGTCACTGTGGGCATGATGTGACTTTGGGATATGGTTGCAGAGGACTGGTGTAGTCTGACTTAACCGGTTTGGACGGATAAAGGATTTTCCTCTGTTACTGGAATACTTGACTTTTCTACATTTGTCTGTTTGTGAAGTTTCAGACTCAGATTTTATATTTTACTAATAAATATTCACAGTAATAAACACTTTTTCAGGAATTTTTTTTTAGTAAGAATAGTTTTATTCTGTGTTGAAGCAAGGAATGTGACATTTAAAAAACATTGTAAGACATTTGAAAAAGTAATTATTTATAGTAATTTTCTTAAAAAGAGATAGCTTGTAGTTTTATGTGGTTATTAATACAGTGCCTACTCATTGTAAGTTTTTTCAGACGCTTAAAGAAAAGTACAAATGAGAAGGTAAAAATCGCCTCTAATCTAGCTACCCATTGGTAGCCTTTTAATGTTTTCTTGAATATTCTTTCAAATATTTTAATATAAAAATGGTGTCTTACTCTATACACTATTTAGCAACCTGCTCTTTTCACCTAATGATATATTTAGGAATTTTTTTTGTTAATAAATATATCTGTGCTGTTCCATACAGTAGCGACTAGCTGCATGTGGCTATTTTTATTTAAATTAAAATTAAAATTCAGTAAAGTTAAAAACTCAGTTTCTTAGTTGCACTAGCTGCATTGTAAGTGCTCAGGAGACACACGTGGCTAGTGGCTACTATATTGGACAGCACTGATCTGCATTACTATTTCTCATGGCTGCAAGGTTATCTGTATTCCTCTCTGCACCCAAGCCCTGAATTCTACCAAGTTTTATCCATAACAGTTATACCAATTTACATTCTTACTAACAGTGTATGAGAGTATCTGTTTCCCCATTTAGTAGTAGTAGTCTTTTAAATCTTGATCCATCTGGAAGTTGGAAAATAGTATCTTGTTTTAATTTGTAAGTTTTAACTACTAATGAGATTGAAGATCTGTTCAAATGCTTATTTGGCCCTTTTTTCTTTTGTGAATTACCTCTACTGGGTAATTTTAATTTGTACAGATTAGTGACTCCTAGTGATATGAAACTAGGAGAGAACTATGTTAATAAGCTTGATGACATTGAATATTAAAGTACTGAAATTTTAAACTGCCACTTGTTTTATACTTTGTTTTATGGGTAAGATTATAGTTTGACATGGGTCCAATTGACTTATCACAGGTAATTCAACAGGCATTGCATCGCCCCCCCAGCTCAGCTGCTCAGTACCTTCAGCAGATGTATGCAGCCCAACAGCAGCACTTAATGCTGCACACTGCAGCTCTTCAGCAGCAGCATTTAAGCAGCTCCCAGCTTCAAAGCCTTGCTGCTGTTCAGGTGAGACTGAAAGAAATTAAGAACTTATGATGCCAAAGTTGACATTATCTACAGATAATTACTGAAAATAAATACATTGGGTATTTCAGAGTTCTCAAATGTCTTGTGATTATTTTTTCTTAAGGAAATATAATAGCCTGCCAAATAGAAGTTAATTAAAACAACAATGGATGTGTTTTATATGTTACTCTGTTGCTAGCATTTGTCTGACTGCTTTTTAATCTACATTGCTATGCTAGTGTCATGGTTTTGTGTATAAAATTCTAGGTACAACAGCGAATACTTAGGGATACATGAATTGTATTTACATTTTAACAAAAAAGGTTTTTTTTAATGTAAGTAATTTACACTCATTAAAAACATCAAACAGTATGAAATTGTTTATAAGAGGTAAAGTAGAGGTGTTCCTTTTCCACATCCACCGCTGTTTTTCACTCTTCAGTGGTGGCCACTGTAACACTTTATGAGGTATCCCTCCAGAAATTTTCTGAATAAAAATATGTATATGTACCTTCTTAAAATCCAGTCATACTATTTTTACTGGTAACAGGATGATTTTGTCATTAAATGCTTATTTTTAAAAAAGATTTTCATTATTATTCTACTGTTTTGTTTGAATAAGACTGTGTGTGAGACTTAACCTTAAATCTCCTCACTAGAGGAGGATCTCAGTTGGCTGAACCTGAAAAAGGTTTATTTCTATTATAAACACATCCCCAGCTGTTGCTTCTTCTTGGTAGTGTAATTTTAAATAACATAGTGTTCATGGTACTAGTTAGGAAACTGAAACCCACTGGCACTTGATGTAGCTCTGGTTTCTTTTTCATAACGTTGGAGTGGTGATTCCGCTTCAAAGAAGACAAAGACGTGTAGAGTAAAACTGACAATACGTGCAGCTATTAAAGTAAGATTAGCTTTTGGGTCTTCTGTTTTCACCATTCAGCTTTTCCTTGATCTGTTTGGCTAAAGCTTAATCCATGTTGACTATAAAATGAATTGGTTCATACATAGACATTTTGACTTTTATTGTGGTTTTGTGGTATCCTGGTACCAGAAAGTTTTTAACTTCAGGTTTCTGTAGACATATTATAAAGATCTTATTATTTTAGGCAAGTTTGTCCAGTGGAAGACCATCCACATCCCCCACAGGAAGTGTCACACAACAGTCAAGTATGTCCCAGACATCTGTAAGTGCCCTAAATTTTTTCCTGGATTTAAAAATTTTTATTATTGCTTTCCAAAAGTAAACTGTTAAATTTACAAAGCTGTTATTGTGTATTTGTTGAATGCTATTTAAGTAACAAGTGCCTGGAAATAGGAATGATAAGGTGCAGGAATTCAGAACTGATGTTAAAATTCTGAAAACCTGAGTCTTAAAAATGCTTTTGTATTTCTTATACATGCTTTCCCACTGATTATGTTCAGATCTTATGTGATTCTAAATGATTGCAGTTTTCATTGTGTACTGAAAGCCTAAAATATACAATGCAGGGGTATTAGGGCATGCATTTACTGTGATGTACTAAAGAATGTCATGTCCTTGGTAGATGTCTAAATGTTTTTAGCTTTTTCTGTGCAGTTCACAGTTTAGAAATTATACTTTTCAGCTCACACTTATTTGAGTTATCTGGGTCCAATTTACAAGTATCCATTCAAGAAAGTGTAATTTATTTTGAGACAAGAGTAAAAAGAAAGCTGATTTGCTATATTGCACATATATACTAGGAAATTGTGCAAAGTTTCCCAGTTAAAAGAACTTTATAGGCGTGACAATACTTGCTTAACTTTTTATTTTGATATAATTTCAAATTGCAAAAATAATAAAAAAATTTTTATATACCCTTTACTCAGATTCACCAACTGTTAGCATTTTGGCTCATTGCTTTATCATTCTTTCTCTCTACATATATACATATTATCTTTTTATGAACCATTTGCGGGTAAGTTGAGACATGTTCCTTTATTCCTAAATACTTTGATACATATTTCCTAGGAACAAACTCATTCTTTTACGAAACCACATGAAAATGGTAAAATTCAGGAAATTTAACATTGATACAATGCAGTCTGTATTCAGATTTCATCAGTTGTCCCAGATTTCTCAACCTCGTTACTATAGACATTAGGGACCAGATAATTCTTTGTTGTAGGGGGCTATCCTGTGCATTATAGGATGTTTAGCAGCATCCCTAGGTTCTACCCACTAGATATGGACCTCCTCCTTCCCCCAGTGTGACAACCAGAAATGTCTCTAGGCACTACCAAATGTTTCCTGGGGGACAAAATTGCCCCTAGTTGAGAACCACTGAGTTAAACCAAATGAAGTTCTTTCTAGCTATTTTTTTCCTGATCCAGGATGATAATACTTTGATACTTTGTAAAATTGACTCCAATAGAGTATAGTTTGTAGGTTGTTAAGGAATTGAAGATGAACTTGTGCTGTAGTTCTTAAGCTAAGGGTATGGTCTTTGCTGACTAAGTACATGTATGGTGAGCATATAGTTATTTTTCTAGCTATTGATCTGACATTTTTAATTAAAAAATTCTTTTTTAGCATGAAAGTATCCTGAAACATGAATAAAATTAGCTAAAAAAGAAGTTACTTATGGCTTGAAAACGTTAGACTGAAGAAAATGAAAAATTTGAGTAATGTAATCTAGCCCTAAGCATTAATACTATTGTTATGGTTATCAATGTCAGATATGTCTTTAATTAATACATTGGTAGTTAAGGAAAGGGCTGGTAGACATTTTTTTGGGCTGGTTAAAAAAATTATAGACGAATTCTTCTATGAAATACTGAAATAACATTAGAGTATATATGTATAGATATATGTGTTTTTGAAATTTTTTTTCTTTACGTTACTAAAAGGTATCCTTTTAAACTTTTTTTCTTATTATGATTTGATGTATATGACCTTCACAGAAATTACAATTCCAGTGATCATGCTTATTTTTTATGACATTGTTAGTGCTACTTGTCATAAACCAGGCAGCCTTTTACAATGAAGTATGGTAGAATCTGTGACTGGCTGGTGAGGGAAAAGAAGTAAGTGGAGAGAACAGATGCTCAGGGAAAAAAAAGGAGTAATACATCGCATTTGTTTCATTTTCTGTCCTAGCTGAACAACAGCTCAAGTGAGTTGACTAGCAGTCCAAATTATGATACCCAAGGTGGCTTAGTAAATTTGGATCAGTCTCCAAAAGAGAGTCAGAGAATAGTAGCAGAAATCTCTAGGTAGTGATAATGATGAGCCATCAGGGGGTAGTCTAGTAGTTTTCAGAGTTTTGGTTATTTTGAGGTAGGTTTCCAGATAACAGTGAAAGCCATGGGGAAGGGTCCAGCCTCCATTAAAAAAAAAAAGGGCTACAAGGTAGGTTGTAAAGTCACCAGCCAAAAGCTTAGGGTTTAGAGGAGGAGTGTGTCCCAGTGTGGAAGTGGAATATTGTATTTTTAAAAATGGAGTCAAAAGTCCAGTCATACCATCTGGGGAAACTATATATGTGGAGAAGATTATTTTAATTGAATGTGTAGATGGTGGGCGCCAGCATCCTCTTTGTTCCCCTCGTTAGAACAGAAAAACTAATTCTAGACTCTTACCAGTAGCAAGAGTGGTGATTTTATTATTGATGGGCTCTAAAACTCGTTGGGACTGAGTCTTTAGGTTGGTATCTTTGTTCTTCAATTGAATGGGACTAATATTTAGTTAAATTTGATTTGCTAAAATGAAATCTAAACCAATTAAAGCTCTTCTTTTTTTTTTTTTTTAAAGATTTTATTTATTTTATTTTTTGCCCCCAAAGCCCCAGTAGATAGTTGTATGCCATAGCTGCACACCCTTCTAGTTGCTGTATGTGGGACTCGGCCTCAGGATGGACAGAGAAGTGGTGCCTCGATGCGCACCCGGGATCCGAACCCGGGCCGCCAGCATCGCAGCGAGCGCACTTAACCACCAAGCCACAGGGCCGGCCCCAATTAAAGCTCTTCTGCAAAAAAAAAAAAAAATCAAAAAAGTTAAAAAATAAAATGGTTGAAAATATATTTACACCAATTATGTCAACCAGTTTATATTTGTGAAATACTAAGGGCTCTTTTATATTAGTAAGATAAGCAATGAGAATTCACAAAAGACCTGCATTGGTAATTTTCAAAAGAAAGACTATTTTTGGCTTATAGACACGTGAAAATATATTTACCGTACTAGTAATAAAGAAATGTATGTAAAAACGACAACGTATTATTTTCACCTCTCAAATTAGAAAACAAGGGAAAACATTGAGACAGTATCCATTGTTGGCAAGGATGTGAGAAAGTAGGTATACTTATATACTATTAGTGGGAATGTAATTGGTACAACTTTTCTGGAGGGTTATGTGGCAACGTGCATGAAAATTGAAACTGCATGCTCTTTCACACAGCACTCTCATTTTTAGTGATGTCATTTACTAAAAATGACAGATAATTATGCAAAAAATGACAGATAATTATGCAAATATGTATGGTTTATAATAGTGAAAAATTATAAACAATGTAAATGTCCATTGAGGATTAAATAAATGATAGTTAATTCATACAGTGGAATACTATAGCTACTAAAAAATGCTGTATATATATATATATACAGAGAGACTTAGATGTTCATTAGGTATTAAGTGAAAAAAAAAATCAAGAATGTATAGTATGATCTCATTTAACTTATTTATTTAGGTTATTCTATTTTTTCAGTTCTAAAATTTCCATTTGGTTCTTTATCATCTTCTATTTCTTTGCTGAGTTCTATTTCTTTGTTTCAAGTGGGCTCGTAAATGCGTGTTCAAAGCATTTTTATGACTACTTCAAAACCTTTACCAGATAATTATAATATCTGATTGTCTTTTTCATTCAGCTTGAGGTCTTTCTGCTTCTTGGTATGATGAGTGATTTTTGATTGAAACCTGGACGTTTTGAGTATTATGAGACTATGGATCTTATTTAAACTTTCTGTTTTGGCTGGCTTCTGAAAGGGAATGTGTGCCATGTCTTTACTGCCATGTAGGAGTAGAAGTTCACATTCCCCATTTGGTCTCCGTTGACACCTGAGGGGGTGCTTGTCATAATTGCTTTGTGGCGGGTGAGAGGTCTGGCTCTTCACTAGGCCTCCACTGATGCCTCCCTGGCTAGGAGGGATAGGAGTGCTGAGTTACTGCTCCCGCGTTGTCTCCACTGATACTGCAGGAATGGGATGGGTTGGTAGTGTGGTAGTCTATTACTGCCTGCCTAGGATGAAAGTCTTGGCTCTCTACCTGCCTTCTCTGACACTAACCTCTTGGAGGAACTAGGGAGTTAAGGGGGTGCCTTATTACAGCCCAGCGAGGGTGGAAGTCTAGGTCTTTGCTGGTGTGGGTGTGGCTGTGGTCACAGTGTGTTCTGTGGTGTTTGGCTGGAGTAGAGCAATTATTGTCTAAAAGTTTTCTGTGTTGCTAGGCTGTCCCTTTCCTAGTCCTTTGGCTAGAAAGAGCGGGCTTCTGTTGGGGCTTTTTTTCTGTCTGCATCCATTGGTGTTTCTGGGTTACCGACTTCTTTGGCTCCAAGTTTGGGTTATATGAGACAAGAAAACCCAGGGAGGGGGGCCGGCCCTGTGGCTTAGCGGTTAAGTGCGCATGCTCCTCTACTGGTGGCCCGGGTTCGGATCCCTGGCACACACTGTTGCACTGCTTGTCCGGCCATGCTGAGGTGGCATCCCACATGCAGCAACTAGAAGGATGTGCAGCTATGACATACAACGATCTACTGGGGCTTTGGGGAGAAAAAGGAAAAAAAAAAAAAAAGGAGGAGGATTGGCAATAGATGTTAGCTCAGGGCCGGTCTTCCTCAGCAAAAAGAGGAGGATTGGCATGGATGTTAGCTCAGGGCTGATCTTCCTCACCAAAAAAAAAAAAGAAAACCCAGGGAGCTCACAACCACCTTGTTCACTGGGTCCCGAGGTCCCTAGCCAGTCTGCTTTTTTCCGCCTTTTTGAATCTTCTTATGTTTATTTTATATGTAACATCAAGGGTTTTTAGTTGTACTTAGGGAGAGGAATAGGGAAAGGTATGTCTATTCCATCTTCCTGGAGACAGAATTCCTGTCATTTAACTTATTTTTTAAAAGTTATCTCTATATATCTGTATGATTATGCAGAAAGAAAATCTTCACTATACAACAAACT